TATGTTTTTGAGAAGAGAATAATTTATCCAGCGAGTGTGTAATAGTGATTTTCTTTATAAAGGTTCATACTCACAGTTTGGCCAGTGTTTGTATAATGCCATCATGTTGCTGGTCTACCCTGTTTCATTGTACAGCCCTCAGTAGTGCTTTTCCTAAAGACCCCCGCTGAGTGAGAATATGCCTGTGGAGGTACTGGATTCTCTTCTGCAACATGCACACATTTAGTATTCACTAACTTTCTCTTACTTTAAGAATTGAATGAATGTTGATAATGAATTCATAATAAAAGCAAACTGAAAATAAACTAGTTCAGTTCATTGTCCCTTTACAAGCCAACCCTGTACACATAAGTGTTTGTCCTCCATGAGGCATAATTCTCTTTATAGATCAAATTTTACAAGCATTAAGAAGGTCTCAAGGTGACCAGCATAGTAAATAATTGACAAATAATTTACATTTATGAATCTTTTGAATGAATGAATGAATGAATGAATGAATGAATGAATGAATCTTTTGTTTTCCTACTTTCTCTCTTTCAGGATGGTACCTGGCACACACAAACCTCTGTAAATGTTTGACGTAGCCACCAGCAATCACAATAAACAGAGCAAAGCCATAAAGAAGACCTTTGATTGGAGGGAAGACAAAGGTCAGACATATAACCAAATGAAAATTAAATGTTTGCATATGTCTACTGTTTTTGCTATCACTGAGTTACGATGACTAGTGCAGTTGTACAATATAAAAAAATAAAAAAGCTAACTAAAATTAAAAAAAATATATATTAAAAACAACAGTAGTTGAATTCTAGTTATGGTTTCAGTACAATTTTCTTAAATACACTTTGAGTTGACACAGACATCATTAGCACAGTGAATTTGTATTAGTATTTGTGGTTGTGGCTGTGTTTTGACTGTGGTATGTTCCATCTGTTGTTCCAGTCTTGACCACTAGGAGTCACTGTAAAACAATAGACATCTAGACTGACAGTACAAATGTTTTTTTGTACAAATTTCTAATGGTACTTGTATTGTAGTTGTACCAATGAGTAGGTATCTCATGTAGTCTGGCTCCAAAGGCTTCATGAGACATTTCTTGCTAAGAACAGTGATGTTTCCTTTCTGCAGGATGTCAAATGAGGCTGCAATGTCCCTAAAGATATCTGAGGCGTAACCAGATCCATTCACTTGTACTGCAACCACTACAGGAGCTGGAGGTGAAAAAAAAATTAATTAAAATGGTAAAATATCAAAAATATATGGTAGAACATGCTAGACGGATAACAAATATATAGCGAGTAAGCAAATCATTGACATATTACTATTTTATTTGAATGTAAAAATGTTTAAATATGTATTGCAATGTGAAAATAAGAGTGACAGTGCCAATATAATAAGTTAAATTTCTCAGTGGCATATTAGTGAAATTGTGGAATGCAACAAAGAAAAACATGCATTGAAACCATGCTGTGATTTTCACTTTGTGTACCTTGGGTCACGATTTCAGATTAGTCGATCCAACACTGTACCAAAATTGTACAAAATCATACAAAATGTCCTAAAAATCAAATATCGAAATTGATCAATATTGCAATGAACTGCGTAGGCCCAAACAATATGCAAAATTGTTAATATGACATAGACTAAATGGAAAACATTGACAATTTAGGTTTCTAAATGTTACTTTAATTTATTTTGAGTAGCCAATTTCATGGTCTCTGAACAAAATGCAGTCATTTCATAATTTTATAATATTATTGTTTTTTTACTGTATCTTTGATCTAATAAATGCAGCCTTTGTGGACACGAGACTTCATTCAAAACTTACTGACCCCAAACATTTGAACAGAAGTTTCGCAGGTTAAAAGGATAGTTCACCCAAAAATGAAAATTTGATGTTTATCTGCTTACCCCCAGGGCATCCAAGATGTAGGTGACTTTGTTTCTTAAGTAGAACACAAACGAAGATTTTTAACTCAAACCGTTGCAGTCTATCAGTCTTATAATGTAAGTGGATGGGAATCACGGCTTTGAGAGTCAAAAAAACATACACAAACAAAACCAAATTAAACCCTGCGGCTCGTGACGATACATTGATGTGTAAAGACACAAAATGATCGGTCTGTGCAAGAAACTGAACAGTATTTATATAGTTTTTTACCTCTGATTTTCACCGCAATGTCTGAACTGTCCTGAGCGCGTTCTCAAACAGCCGGCACCTGACGTGTCTTTTTCTTCTTCTTGCTTTACGGCGGATCGCAGACTTATAAGTGCATTACCGCCACCCGTCCATTTGAGAGATAGGTGGCGGTAATGCACTTATAAGTCTGCGATCCGCCGTAAAGCAAGAAGAAGAAAAAGACACGTCAGGTGCCGGCTGTTTGAGAACGCGCTCAGGACAGTTCAGACATTGCGGTGAAAATCAGAGGTAAAAAACGATATAAATACTGTTCAGTTTCTTGCACAGACCGATCGTTTTGTGTCTTTACACATCAATGTATCGTCACGAGCCGCAGGGTTTAATTAGGTTTTGTTTGTGTTTTTTGACTCCTAAAGCCGTGATTCCCATCCACTGACATTATAAGACTGATAGACTGCAACGGTTTGAGTTCAAAATCTTCGTTTGCGTTCTACTGAAGAAACAAAGTCACCTACATCTTGGATGCCCTGGGGGTAAGCAGATAAACATCAAATTTTCATTTTTGGGTGAACTATCCCTTTAATACAGCAATGTTCTGTAGAGTTTGACATAAATTAGTTGTTGTTGTTTCCTAAAACAAACATGCAATTTTTGGGTCAGTGTTTTAGTGCAGATTACTACAGCAGTTTGACCTTTTGACATGTTGTCTCTCTGAGTGTGAAACACTTTCCCTGTTCTCTGGTAGTTGTTGACCTTTCCCTTGTGAAATTTTTCTCATCTTTCCTTGTTAATCTCTCCTCTCTCAGTTCAGGGTCCTCCTCCACATTTTTGACCGTCTCAGCCTCTTTCAGCTCTGTTTCACTTATCTAAATGAACATTCTTTCCTTTCTTCCTTCCTCTTGACCCTTCACCCCACACCATCTATCTGCTAAAGGACACATGCACACATCATTTAAGTATACACTTACAGGGCATGATGTAGGTGAGAGTTTCTCTGTGGCTGAGGGGAAGTACAGCTGCTTTGCCCTGTCTGGTGCGCTTCCTGTCCAGCTCAGTAAACTGGTCAGTTATGTAGATGTTTTCAAAGTTATCATTATGAAGGTACTGATTTTTGTACAGAATGGCCCTGTTCACAAATGCATAAAAAACAACCAAACATTACAAAAATAAGTTTCCACCATAGAGCTGTTCGGCCATGATGTCAGTCTGTAGGCCAACCTGGAGGAGTAATATTGTATATATTAAAAAAAGATATTAACAATAATAATTATTATTATCATTATTATTATATATATTTTTTTACATTTTTTTTTCCTAAACAGAAGGAGAGAACCCATGGCTCAAAAATCCTTATATCCTTTTTTGGACTAAAAACTGAACAGCTCCATTCAGTTTTGACCAAACAAAATATAAACAAATATAACTTTTATGAATAATTTTGTAAGAATTCTATGTCAGTTCTGACATGGTGAATATGTCTCAATGTGTGTGAGTATTTACTGTGGCTGGATGTCTTTAACAGGAAGTACATACTGGAGATACATGAAGAGAAGCAGGAAGAAACCCAAGTATGCCAGTAGGAGCTAAAGCTCCTGGAGGAGGCCCAGCTCCTCTGACACCTCCTCCATGATCTCCTGAGCAGCATCCTGCATGGACTGACTGTTGTTTAGAAGCAGGTCAAAGTTGATGGTAGAAATGTTGAATTGAAACTCCTTTTTAATTCGATCAAATGCTGCAATGGTTGCTAGGGATAACAACAACAAAAATGGCAATAACTAAACAATAAGCTTCTTTCAGCGTAACTGAATAAGTTTTAATAGAGTTAAGAATCACTCCATGCCAGGAAATCACTCTCAGAGGAGCTGTACTTATGAAAAGCCAAAGCAGTCTTCATGTGTTCAGCAATATATGATGGTAAGATGCAGAACAGCTGTCCCGCTGCCGGAAAAGCCTATTAAATCAAACAACAGGCATTAAATAAAAAATATCTGTGCAAACTGACTCATTTAAAAATAATTTTAGTAATGACATGCAGTTTTCAGTTCATTATTTAGAAGTGCATTACGCTAAACAGCAGATTTCTGCTCCATAAGGCTGAAATCAATTATTTTAGCGCTGACTCCGTAGCTATAGAGTTCATGTTTAAATTTGCTGTCAGATCACGATCATCCTGTTGAGGAATGCGCAAGATACGTACACATGGAAACACGACCACCCCTCTTCACACTGTAACATATAGGCCTACTTAAACGTGACAAACTGTTCCCACAGGAGAAAATAACATCAATAAACTATGTATCGAGCATGGAGATGAACAATACCTAAGACTTAGTAGGCTACTCTGTCACAGGAAAGAATTCTGCGATGGTAGAATAGACATAATATACCAAATATAATAAAACCAAACCACTGCGACGCAGAAAATAAACAGGATACTGTAAATTACAGTAGAGTAGAGAGACAGAGGGACTTCAAACATGCCTAAACCTCAAACCTCAGTAAATAAATGAAAGACCATAGGCGGGTTTGCCCAGACAATGTCATTACTGGAAGTTTGACCGATTGATTCACTAACCGACATGCCGCACAGATTCCATCAGAGCTCTGATGAAGTTTTGTGCTCGGCCTGCCATTGAGTAAGCATTCCTCGCCATCTGTTTTATCTTATTCAGGGCTGCTAAACAAAGATGTTTTCAGGATTTCAAAACAGAAATATGTACGACACACTACTGTAATTTTCAAGTAAACCAGAAGACATTGATTGCCTAATTCACATGGATTTTAAAAGATTTAGAATTAAACTGGAAAGAAAATAGATCTATGTGAAGTGACATGTGGCCAAGTATGGTGACCCATACTAGGAATTAGTGCTCTGCATTTATCCCATCCAAAGTGCACACACACAGCAGTGAACACACACATACACACCGTGAACACACACCCGGAGCAGTGGGAAGCCATTTTTTGCTGCAGCGCCCAGGGGGTTTGGTGCCTTGCTCAAGGGCACCTCAGTCGTGGTATTGAAGGTGGGAGAGAGCACTGTACATTCACTGCCCCCACCTACAATCCCTGCCGGTACGAGACTCGAACCCGCAACCTTTGGGTTACGAGTCCGACTCTCTAACCATTAGGCCACAACTTTGATTTGTTATGATGTGAATTTCAAAATAATTTCTCCACTTCGTTTGAGCAGATGTTGGTGTTTTTGAAAGAGGTGTGTTGTTGATATCTTTAACACGATGCTCTTGCAGATAGACTCACGTAGCAGCGGGTTGGCGGCACGCTGCAGGAGCTGTTGTGTCTGGCTCATGGCAAGTTCTGCACTGCAGATCACACTGTCTGCAGCCCGTTCAACATTTTCCATCGTGTTGCTCACTGGGCCTTGGATAACCAAGGTAAAGATGAGGAAAATAAGGACATTTTTACCCCTGACTGAAAGACAGAGAAAGAGATGCACTGAGTGTTATGGTATTACTTCTCTTGAAAACTGTGAGGTAATTGACTATTGATAATACAGGTGATTTAACAGTAGTTTAAAGTTAATTCAGAGGAGATTAAAGGGATACCAAAACCCATACTCATCATATCATATTTTTTGTATTGGTGTTAAGTAAACAAATGAAGAATAAAACTACACTGGCATACATTCAGAGGAGAGGTGACTTTACTGCACATTTTAACTCAAATGTTGTTGTCAGTTCAAGTGAATATTCATAAGTGTCCATATCTTACGTTAACTTCACGTTCATTCATATTATTGTATGTTACCTTTACCTTTTTTTGCCGTTTCATGAATTGCTGTGTGTTTCTTAGTGTGTTTAATGGCGGGTTCCTATGTGACAAGAACCTCAGTTCAGAAGTCGAAGTGTGTTCAATGAACTGTATCGTTTTTCTTCTTCAAAAAGAACCCACAACTAGCCCCATTGTCCCGTATCTGCACCTATACTCGCGTTAATATGAAAGTAGCAGCACAATTTTCATGTACACTTTCACTTACGTATATGAAAGAGATTGACAAGCGTTTATTTACTCGAGCACAGCATTGGGAACATCAGCATGACCTTGGTGCGCACGCGGTCAGAGAGGCCCGTACCAAACCCCGCGCAAGCGACGAGGATGCCGGTGGTGATGATGCAGAACCAGAGGCTGTGGTTCTGGATGTACAGCGCTGTCATTCCGTAAACTGATGCGAGGAACAGACCCAGAGTAAACCTAACAAGATTGTGCTTCACCTCTCGGCGGTGCGCGCAACCGTGACATTTTCCTACCGAGAGACTTCAAAAAAGGTTCTTTTGGGATCATCGTGGAGAAGTGAAAAAGAGAGCAATTTACTTTTTTAAGGATAACAAAAGATGGAAAGACAAATAAAGATGAACCCCAAAACAGCGCTGCGTAAGACTTACCTCTCCACTACAGAGCTTGTTGATGCTCTTCACTCTTTGATACATGTGGGCGGATAAAAGGTTGTCTAGGACCCATTTCCAAAACTCATACAAGTACATTTTGATATCATAAACGTTAAAATGGCTGTTTACATTAAATCCATGAGAGCTCATTCGAACTGACTGGTTGCATCTTTTAAAACTGCTACCTTTTGCAGGGTTCCTCTGTATCAGTGAAGAAGAAACCAGCAATGGAGTGTCTCAGGGAAACCCGAACTAATTACCCCACTCAAGTGTGTTTGTTACATTTTTAGAAAACCTATCAATCTACTAAAGTAGTTGTTGTGCATATATATTGTGACTTTTTGTGAATTTGCAGCTTTGGAGCAGGTGTATAAGCATATTCTGCCACCTGGAGTTCACAAGTTACTGTTCGGGCCACTGTCAGAGCTTCTTGTGGTTCGACATCTCACAGGAGCTGTATTTGGAGCTCTGAGTGGAGTGGGTAAGTAACTATGCTAAATCTGTTGTATACTAGTTTAGGGTTAGATTGTAGTTAATCTTTATTAAAATTATTATTATTATTTTTTTTTAACTTTTTTAAAATGGTTTTGAAAGCCTTTTATGCTTACCAAGATTGTGTTTATTTGATAAAAAAAAAATATATATACTGTTTTCTATTTTAATATATTTTAAAATGTAATTTTTTCCTGCAATGCCAAAGCAAGATTTTCAGCAGCCATTACTCCAGTCTTCACAGCGTCACATGATCCTGTAGAATTAATTATAAAAATGCTGATTTGTTGTGGGATAAACTTTTTTTTAATTATTATTATGGATGTTGGAAACTGTGCTGCTTAATCACTTTTTTTTTGGAAACGTGATATATTTTGTCAGGATTCTTTAATAGAAAGTTCAAGAGAACAGCTTTTATTTGAAATATAAATCATTTGTAACTTCATAAATGTCTTCACTGTCACTTTTGATCAATTTAATAAGTCCTTGCTGAATAAAAGTACATTTTTGAATGGTAGTGTATATAAATTATTTCATTATATAACTAACATTATATTATAATCATAAAACTAACATGGGATGCTGATCTTGTCTTAATGTGTTTTTAAGGATTGTTTTTCGGTCTCATGCAAAATATTGCCATGACAACAGTACAAAGTGTTGTTGTTGGATGTGTGTTTGTGGGGAAGTGCACAAGTTTTTTTTTTGATGTAGAAGTATTCTGGTTCAGGGATATACATATGTGACCCTGGACCTCAAAACCAGTCATAAGAGTCAGTTTTTCGAAATTGAGATTTATACATCATCTGAAAGCTGAATAAATAAGCTTTCCATCGATGTATGGCTTGTTAGGATAGGACAATATTTGGCCAAGATACAACTATTTGAAAATCTAGAATCTGAGGGTGCAAAAAAGTCTAAATATTGAGAAAATCACCTTTAAAGTTGTCCAAATGAAGTTCTTAGCAAAGCATATTACTAATCAAAAATTAAGTTTTAAATATATTTACGGTAGGAAATTTATAAAATATCTTAATGGAACATGATCTTTACTTAATATCCTAATGATTTTTGGCACTAAAAAAAATCGATAATTTTAACCCATACAATGTATTTTTGGCTATTGCTACAAATATACCTGTGCGACTTAAGACTGGTTTTGTGCTCCAGGGTCACATATGTGTTTTTAACTTATGGTTATCTTTGCTGTATTGTGTGTTTGTGCAGGTCTGTGTACTCTTGGAGGCATGTTTTCTTCACTGTTCCGCTGCTCCGTCCTCCTGATGTTTCCTAATATGATTCGTTCACAAGGACTGACATTCCTGATGGTTTATGTGCTGCATGGACTTTACCAACGTAAACATCCTAGGAACATATACAGGAACATTAAACTGTTTGACAATGGCAATACAAAGCACAGATGTCAGAAACTTGGACAGTCACGAGCCTTCATTAGTTTTTGACTCATCACCTGTGCTCTTTCCATCAGGCCCCATTGCAAACATCCAGCGTAATGTGCAGGACGTGGCCTCCTCCATGGGCTGTAACAGACCTGCAGATCACACACAGCAAGGTGTGATTAGACTCGAATGCAGCCGTTTGTGATTGTTAATTCGCGCACGTGAGCATATGCATGTGAAGTGCAGACGCAGCTGCGGGAGAGGTGGGTCTGACTCCGGGCTACTTTTACACGGGTTATAATGCAAGTTAGCCACGGGTTATAATGCAAGTTAGCGGTTCTAAATTCACATTAAACCACAGCTTCATGGGTTTTTTGCTCTGATTTATTTTTGGTTTTGTGCTGGTATTGGTATATTTTGTATGCTAGTGATAGGAATCGATCCCTTGACGTGATTGGTTATTGGTTTGTGACATAGCAAACCAAGGGCTGTTTCAAACCATATTTCTGGGTCAGCCTTTGGGAAACTACAGTTTTAAGGAGAAAATACTCAGCAATGGTGTTGATTAATGGACTGGCACATGGTTTGTCTAAAAGCATATTAAAAACACCACATAGACAAATAAACAACATAAAAAACTTGATTTTCACTACAGGGGGAATTTAAGTGGGAAGAGTGTATGAATAGCATTCAAACCCCTCTTATAAACCACATCCTCTGCGTACCTATGCATTTCCACTTTCTGTGTGATGTCAAGAGAGGTAAGATTTACATGTTGCATCTGAGCTTAACATTAAGCAATGAGGATCACATGTGTACTGAGTTACTTTTCTCTCAGTGATGACATCATGAGCTTATCTATACACTCCAGCGAGCTCATGCCAGTGGTATATGCTATTATGGTTCCTGTGTTCAGCATTTAAAGGGATAGTTCAGCCAAAAATGAACATTTTTGATTTACCCATGATCTACTCACCCTCAAGACATCCTAGGTGTATATGACATTATTCTTTCAGATGAAAACAATCATAGTTATATTAAAAAATGTCCTGGCTCTTCCAAGCTTCCAAGCTGCTAGTCTCGCGAGAACCAAGTTTTGTTTACAGCAAAGAAAATCTAGTCACCTCTTGGCTTATATCAAAATCCTCCGACATTTTTCGATATAAGCCAAGAGGTGACTGGTTTTCCTTTGCTAAAGTAAGGAAACTTTGCTTCCTTTGCTCCTATTAACAAACGTTGGTTTTAACGAGACTCACCGGCGCATGTGTTACCGGCTCCAGACCTAGTGGAATCTGTGCCGGCACAAACCAAATCACGCACCAAGCTGTGAGTGATAAGAAGACGGACACGTTACTGCCTTGCTCGAGTGCAGTTTTAATATGACAGATAATCACTGTTGCAATGTGGACACATCATACATTGTCTAAAATCAAACCAAAAGTCTCAATAAAATAACATTCAACTGTCACTTCAAACAATACTCATATGAATAAATTCAAGACAATGTAATTAGATTTCCCATATGAACATAGGCATAACTGCATGAACAAAAGAACCCAGTGCAGTTGAAAATACCTCTGTATAACATAGTATTGGTAATATTTTGAGATATTGAAGTAATACTGCATTTACTCAAATACATTTCTTATCCATATGTAATACTGACTTGTATAAATGCAACAATGATACCAATCACTATGGTTGAAACAATGTCACTTTCCCATATCTTTATGGAGAAATACATATAATATACAATGAACTCAATTTCCCTGTAGTTCCTTTAATAATCTCAAACGTACTAATATCCCATGTAACAATATTATGTCTTCACATGCATTTACTAACAGCATAGCTGCAAAAATACACACTAGATTTGATTAACATTCACAACAGATGGAAATACTTATAATCAGAATGATTGATAGACATAAATGTGTTTAGGAAACAATCCAATGTTTTACAGATTTCCGCATACATGCATCAAGACACATTCTCTTTATATCCCTTTGTTAATCTTTGCTAATTTTGCTAACCACGAGTTAGCGGATAACGTTTATCATTTTCTCCAACCTAAATCTCATCCTGTTACCCTACACATTCCAACATCCTTTCCAAACATTTCTTCATAGTAATGATAATGGATGGTTAACACAAACCACTTTAAAAGAGTTATTACCCATACCTGTGAGTGATAAGAAGATGGACACGTTACTGCCTTGCTCGAGTGCAGTTTTAATATGACCCGGAACTCAGGCTGTCGGTCTCCTAGATAACCCACTAAAGCGCTACACCCCCCTCTACAGGTGTCTTAGTTTCTGATAAAAACAAAACAGTAATAATAAAAAATAAGTGGTGGGGTAACATTTTTTTCTCTTTTCTTTTTACCCATACAGCAGAATTATTTCCTCTACCCGTCACACATGCATCTTCCCGGAGCTGCTTCCGTGTACAACTGTTGGCGCAAGCTAGATTAAAGTGATTATTAAGTTTTGAATATGGATATTTTTCTTACAAAAACACATCGATTCGCTACAGGATATGGATGTGCGCTTTTTATTTCACTTCTTTTGGACTGATGCACTGCAACACCCGTTGAGTGGCATTAAACAGATTGAAAGAGCAAAGACAATTTTTAATATAACTCCGACTGGATTCGTCTGAAAGAAGAAAGTCATATACACCTAGGATGACTTGAGGGTGAGTAATTTATGGGCTAATTTTCATTTTTGGGTGAACTAACCCTTTAAATTTTACATGAATGCTTTTGGGAAAAGGAGATTGAACATTATTCGGGGCAAAATCCAAACTCAGTACAAGCTAAGAATAACCGCACAGACACAGAAGCACTGTGCAGATGAAAGAGAAACAAAGATCTAGAAGAAAATAAACTCAATGCACCACAGCTGGAATAAATATACATCAAATAAGTTATTGCATCATGACCCAGATATCGATATAATATTGTACTGCTAGGTCCCAGTTCTCTCATGATCATTCAAGGTCTTTCTATGTTTGTTGTAGCAGTCTGTGTAACACAGCACTTTCAAACTCGTCTAATTTTCTTTCAAAATGCCATTTCAAAAATTTCAGGTTTCTTCCTGACATCCTGAAAACATAGAGAGTTCTCCAACTTCAGTATTAGAGCGATTGTGAATGGACTCTGTCAGACACTGAATTCCACATTGCAGGATTCTATGAGTGACTGTTGGCAATGGCTCGAGGATTCAGCCGGTTTCTTCTGAGGCCAAGTGACGTCTTTGGTCTAGCCGTCTATTTAATCTGATCAGAGTTAAACTCAAAGCTCTGATTGTGTCTGTGTGTCTCATCCAGATAGGTCTAAATTGGTCTAGACCGGTCCCCACAGGGCAGGCAGTACACATGCAGTCGGCTGATGAGAGGACTATTTATAACATTAGCATGACAGCACACATGCCAGACAACATACATTCATCAGTTATTCTGTTATGTTTACTTGCTATGTAACCTGATCCAGTAATAGGTTATTTGTGTTATTTGTATAC